TGAGAGAAGAAGAGACAGCTGTGCAGCGTAAAAACACAGAATAACTCCAGCTTTTCTTTTTTTCTTTCTAGCAGAAGTACAGAACAAATTGCGTTCCTTTTCATCTCAATACGGACATATTGTAATTGGTCCAGCCCAGAGTCCATCATGACCAATTGGCAAATCCACCACCTTTCATTGTTTATACCATTACAAAAACAAACAAACAAACATAAAATTACCATCAGCCCAACGGGCAAATTCCCAGTACGCCCAATTCCAGTCCAGCTTTGGGGTCAGCTGGTGGGTAACAGGCATCTCCGAAAAAGTTAGAGCACTCTTGCAAATATGTGATGTCTTGGTAAATTGAGCAGATATTTGAAGTTTATATGGCAACATCAGTTTATTTCGTGATCCAGAAAGACTAATATTTTAAACTCTGCCATTCTGTGTTCCTCTGCTACTGTCTCATTTGAGTTTTGGACAAAATGCTGTTATTGTGTGTAATGATAATCGCAAACACTGAAATATATTTCTTGCACACAGAAATGAATTTTGTTTGGCAAAATAATTTTCTCCTCAACATGCAACATTTGCGCTTGCAATTTTTTTTTAGGTGCGCTCAGAATAGAGGCACTAAAATAACGCCATAGAAATATAGAGATAAAATCAAAAGTAGTGGTAGTAGTAGTCACCCTGGACCCCAGAGGGTTAATGTCATGGCCCTGGGTCTTTTGATCCAGTTTTTTTTAGTTTTCATACATTTTTGATCATTCTGTATTATTTGGTGTAATGTTTGCATGCCACAAACATTAATGATGACACCTTCAGTATTTCTCAGTTCCATTCTTTAATTCTCAGGCTTGCAGCGCTAACTTGTTCATCTACCGTTTTCTGTTGTCTCCTTTTTTCTATATCCTCCTTCTGCCTTACATTCGACCTTTCAAAATAAAAGTTCTGTAAACATCACATTTGTTTTCTAGGTTATTCTGTTCACTATGGTTTTGTCATGGTCCTGTGTCCTTTTGACCCAGCGTTCTTAGTTTTCTTGTGTTTTTGTATTCTGTTCTTTATTTATTCTATGATTCCGAGGTTGTTCAGTTTTGTTTATGAGATTTCCCCTCGTGACCTTACCCCATGTGTCTCCACGCATCTGTGAGTCCCCATGCCTTGTTTCCTCTCCTAATGTTTTATCCCATGTTTTCCCCAGCCTGTTATGTCTGTGCTCTCCCCGTGTTCTCTCCT